AATAAAATAAAATAAAATAAAATAAAATAAAATAAAATAAAAATAAACTTGTCCTGAGATCCAGCACTTTGAGAGCTGCTGCAGATCTACTTAGAACCTGCTGGCTCTGGGGAGATGAAATTTCCCGTCCCTCTAGGTAATGGGCTTCCCAAGCTCACGCGAGCTGTTACACTGCCCCAGTCAGGTGTGGACTCCAGGGCTCTGGGCCTCACCCACACAGGGCCAGTTTACTTCTTCTAGGTTGAATGGTGATGTGAGGGCATTGCCTTGTGATTCTAAGGATTCAAGGTGTCTTCTTCTTTTTTTGTGTGTGTGTGGAACCGGGGATTGAACTCAGGCCCTTGCGCTTGCTAGGGAAGCACTTATTCAACTGAGCCATCTCCCCGGCCCTGTCTTCTCCTTTTTTGTGAGCCTTTAGGTTTCCTCTTGGTGCCGCGCCAGCCTGTGAGGGATTCTACTGCATTATCCATCTGCCTCTGTTCTGATGGGCAGCAGTTACACGTATCTTCTCATCTTTGGACGTTTTTTCCCTGGTCTTTTGGTTCTGTGTGTGGCAGCTGGCTGCACCAGTGAGTCACCTTTGCAGCATTTTAGGGCGTTCACTTTAACTTTTACGTAGAACACACATGTACAAGGGTACACATAGCAGCTCAGTGAATTACCATGAAACGGATACACCATGCTGGCACCCTCAGCCAAGAGCCATCAGCTGTGTAATCCAGCACTCGGGAGGCTGAGGTAGGAGGATTGGTTCGAGTTCAAGACCAGCCTGGGCTACAAAGCGAGCTCAGGGCAGCCTGAGTGCACAGCGAGACCCTGTCTCAAAAAAAGAACATCATGTGAGCTCCTCTTTGGCCCCTCCGGCCACTCCCCTCCTTCCCAGAGGTGAGCAGAGCCCTCTCTCTGGCACCATGTTTTGCCCACTTGAGTGTCATATAAAGTTGCTCGCACAGTGTCTGCCTCTGTGTCTGGCGCCCTGGAGTTGTCCTGTTTTCAGCCTTCCCAGTGCTGGGACTACAGGCATGCGCCACCAAGTGCAGTCTCGGAGGCCAGCTCAGCACACCCAGGGGCAGGGCTAGTGCTGCATGTGGTGCCAGGAATCACACCCCGGTCCCTGTGCTTGCCTAAGACGACGCTTAGTCCACTCAGCTATCTCACCAGCCTGGTAATGGAGATTGAACCCAGGGCTGTCACGCTGAGCTGTATTCCCTGCCCTTTTTTCTTTTAGACAAAGTCTATATAGTTCAGGCTGGCCTCAAAATCTCTCTCCTGCTTCACCCTCCTGAGTGCTGGGGTTAAGGCTGTACACTACCACACTCACATCCAGCCCTTTTCACTTCTGTTTTGTTTTGTCTTGCTTTGCTTTGCTTTGAGATAGGGCCTTGCTAAGTCACTAAGTAGGTCGGTCTGGCCTCAGCCTCCCAGATGTGCAGCTCCATCCGCAGCATGGTTATAGTTGGTGTCTTTTAATAAATGTAACTGCTCACTTTTAATATAATCAGTTTATCATTAGTTCTCGTTGTAATTGGGTCTTGTTTGTTTCTGTTTAAGGCATACATCCCCTACATAAGGTGCTAAAGATATTCTTCTCATCGAGCCTCCAACATTTTATAGCTTTGCCTGTTTTGTGTGGATCTTTATGTCATTTGCAGACAGTCTTGATCCCTGGTAGGCCCATCCCTCACTTTATTTTGGCTTTTAGGAGAGGTTTGTTTTGATTTTCTTTGTCTTGTTTGTGCCCTCCAAAGTATCTTGGCTATTCTTGGCCCTTTGTATGTTTTGTGTATATTTTGAATACTGCCAGGTGATATCAAAACAAACAAAGGAAAACCCTGTTGGCATTTCAGTGGGTTTGTACTGGTTCTTTAAGTCAGTTTGGGGAATGTATACTGATTAAGTCAGTAGATGTCTTCACATAGTTGAGCCTTTCAGCCTATAAACATGATGTTCTGTTTCATTGCTTAGGTCTTT